TTGGTACACCTTTCGTTTTGTGCGTGTCATCCTTTGCGGACGTGCAGAAATAATATGCTCTTAGCATGTGGCAAGACAAACCCAAGGGGATATGGAAAGCTTCTAGATTTGCCTATGTGTCGTATCATTTTTTTTTTTTAAGCAAAGTATGAAGACAATATATTGCTACCTGGAGTCTCAAAGTACCCCAGAAAATGGGTACCTGGGGTCACGTCCCATTTTTTCAGGTACCGTAAGGAGGGTCTAGGTAGGGACCAACATGTTTTTTGAACAAAAACAGTGTGTTCCACTACAAGCTGTTGTCCTTCTGGAAGTTGTTGGTGTCCACCGAAATCAGCTCACCTGCCGGATCTGGACGTGACCGCTGAGATGCCGAGCCTTCGAACCGGAACCCCAAAGAAGTCAAGTATGCCAGGCCTTGGATGATCCATTTGTTTGATTCGTGGTATTGAGTCCATATAGCTGTGGGTCATTTTCCCAGAGGGACCTGCTTGACCAATCGACGGAACAAACAGCTACGATGGGAGGTCAACCTGCAAAATATGGTCAACATGTTTATCGTTGATTGTGTGCACAGGGTAGTACACGGTCGGTCAGATACTCCAATATATGCAGTAATGCAATGGCAAGTGATGTAGTTTTCTTCAAGATCTCGTAGATATATGACTTTAGCATCTCCTGACTGACCGTAAGATCTTGCTGGCTGACTTTACCAATGCATAAGGCACGCCCAGTTTGGCTCTGAAAAATAATTGAAAAATAGAATGTGCAGCTTTCGTCAATATGGGACCAACGCACTGCCCAGGTGGCATTGGACATCGACTTAGCCAGCGGTACCGGCTTGCTGCTTGCTGCTTCCCACTGATCACGTCTGAAGGACTTGTGAGAAAAGACATGAGTCTTGTAGGCCTTGTAATTCAAAACTCATCACGGCCTCGAACGACATGCTTTCTTCGCGCTTGGCCTTTTCGAAGGTCTCAAGTCGGTCATTCGTCGGTCCAGAGACCCCGAACCACCTGGTCCTCCGGGTCCTCGGCTCCGGTCGCCTGGCTTGTCGCATTCGCACACACCGAGGTGCTTCCAGGGCACCCAAAGCGCTGGCTCCGAGAGCCTCGGCTAGAAAACAGAGCTTCCAGTGAGGCGAGGCAATCCGGAGGTTTCACCCGGGCAACCCTCTGAACGGTTTCGCCATGATCCCAGGTCGGATCCAGGTATATCTCCGAAAAGGGGCCATTCTTTCCGGAGGTGAGTAGGTACGAAACCAAAGGAAGGTCGAAGTGGAGCAAAGAAAGGTCGATGTGAACATGACATGACTGGTGGAGACAGCGTTGCTAATTGATGTGTCAATGACCAGGTAGGCCATAGCACGGGACAATCTTGCTTGGTCAGGCCAAGATTTCCCAGGAAAAATTGGGCAGGGCGTCCTGTCGCACACAAAGAATGTACCCTGGGGCTCCAACCACCTTCTCAGAAGGTAGTTACAAGTAGATCCCCCTAACGAACCCCAACCACCTTCGAAACGGAGTTGGAGGGGGAAGCAATTTCAGGAACCGCTGGAGTCTTCCATCTTCCCTTTCCTGACCGAGGCCAAACTTAACATGCGACCTGAAAAAAACAAATCGCTCTTGGACCCTCATATGGAGGGGTCGGACCTATATGGAGGGGTCTGGGGTCTCAAATCCCTAGGTTTTGAGGGACCAAAGGCTGTTTGGAGCGTCTGGGTAGTCACTAAATACATCAATTATAGAGATCCAGGTTGCTCAAGCTTTGTATAAATGTAAACGATTCACCTCACATCAAGTCAAGGCTGAAATATTTCTTCTGGGTACATACTTAAGTATAGGATCAATGGTCCCTCGATATTGCTTTCAGAAACGCTCCTGAAGGTGAGCACTCCAAACATCTAGAAACCCATCTGATTCAGCCGCTCTCTGGCGCATTCCCTTCAGCCTGCTGATCATCCCATCTTCCCATCCCCACTGCTCCAAGTACCTCTAAGACAGTGGGACTGAAGTCTGTGCCGTCCAGTCATACCTTCGTTTTGGATGGCCCCTGGGAGGTGTAGGGATCTTAGAAAGCCTGCCCTTCTTTCGGCCAATCGGCACACTTGGACGTTTCGTTTTAACATCGTATCCCCCTGAAAACTTCACGTGCACTCTCTTCTTTTCAAGCTAAGCAGCCACTGCTTTTGTTGAAGCCTCGTCGAATCAGCGTCCTGTGGCCAAACGAGCTCTTGAGCTTGTTCAAACCACATCGGTGAAGAGGAAACAGCACACTTCATGTTCATCAGAACCTCTTCAGAACCTCTTTGCTTTAGATCAACGGCCTGGGTCAGTAGGGAGTCATTAAAGAATATAATTCCTTCCTTCAGGCCAAACAACCGTGTAAGTGCCAAGAAGAAAAATAACCTGAGGTCTGGACGTGTTTTCTTTTTCCACTGAAATAACATCTTCAGATACATCGAATACAACAGGCTGCGTGGACAAAACTCAGCAGTCCTCCACTTCTTCTCGCCTCTTGTTGAGCAAGGGCGTGTAGTCCAAGACCAGCGCTGCCGACAGGAAGTAGATATGATTACACTCCTCCACGCAGACTGGTAAGGAATGGTAAGGATGTGCAAGGTCGCTTTGAATGCCACCTGGGGTCTCAAATTCACGGCGGAAAATCAATTACAAATATACACGTTGTTGTACAGAGTCACGTCCCATTTGGTACTTTGGAGGGTCCGGTCTAGGTATATACCAGCTGCTGACGAAGAACTGGTCGGTCTCCATTGGGCATGCCAAAACGCTCGGTGTTGTCAAGGCCCTAGGACTTGTCATCCTCAACCCACTCGGTGAAACTTGGACTCCCAAACTTGCACGGACCGACCCCCAAACAAAGGTCAATTGTTTGATCCACAACCAAGCAGTTTGCTTTGACCCAACTAGGGTGGAGATGGACTATGAAATCTGTGAATCTTGGATGGTAGTATTGGAGAATCCCCAATGTGCATTGACTGTTGATTAATCAAACTCCCCTACCAAAATGGATTTACATCTCCAGGTCAACATTACGTACTTCTCCTTTGGATGATGCCAGGAGCATAAAACACAACTGTCTTACCATGAGCAACTTGGTTGAAGACCAAAACAATTCACAAGATCTTGCTGTGCTTCTTGCAGCCCCAAGAACCACCCCAAAAACGGGTGGCCATCGCTCTGAGTTTGGAGGCCATCGCTAGGTCACTTGGAGAACGTCTGATCTTCACGGCGACGGCATCGTCTCAGTCCACGCGCGCGGAGGTGTCCACTTTCGCCTCCCCATGCTCGAAGACGATGTCTCCTTGCCCCAACACTTTCCTCACTCGCGCACGGCGCACGTGTTCTCCAATCGGCGAGATACCGAACTGGAGGGTGTCTGGACCCTGCAGGTTCCGCAGCGGTTTGGACCCTGAAAACCTTCGCCTTTGAGGGTCCTTGATTCTTAGGGTAGAACATCATCGTGCTCTCCAAACTGCGTTGGACAAACGCTGGGTGATCATTCTGGAATTTGAACATCGAAGTGTGGTGAAGTCTCTTGGCATCTCTTCGACCTAGACCATTCCGCCTTTCGGACCGAACTTGGGAACGTGACACGAAGAAGAGGACCTCAGGTACGACGGACGGCCCCATGTTCGGAACGGTGTGGAACCGGTCAACGTACCATTGGCCCCCACAGACGTTTCCCCAAAGTCCTCACGTAACGTACCCGCCGTTTCCCCCTTCGCCACGTAACCAGCTCTCTCTCCCACACGGTCTTTTCGGCCACAGGGGGACTGGTAGATCGAAAGTGAGTGTACCCTAAGGATCATTGGACCCTCCGAACTGGAGGGTGACTGGACCCTGCAGAACGCAGGGGTTTGGACCCGAACCAAACCTTCACCTTTGAGGGTCCTTGATCCTTAGGGTAGAAGAAACTTGGAGCAAGCAACACCCTGAAACCCTAGGGAATGATACTCGTCAGAACATATACCTTCCAGGGGCCACAGGCCGGGGTGTTTTCTAGGGATCCAGTCGTGCCGAACCTCAGGTTCGGTACGACTGGACCCGACTGGCCGGCACCTACATGTCGCGGTGTCGAACACATCACCTGCTGAGAAGGTACGACTGGATCCCTAGGGAAAGAGCCAAGAGATCATGCATACCCTAGGGTACCTGGAGTCGACCCGGAACTCGTACCCCAGAAAATGGGGCCCAAACGTCGCACCTGATTTGAGTTCGGGTCACGTCCCATATTCTCAGGTGCCGTTTTTGGAGGGTCTAGGTACACGCAATACCCAGACACGACTAATGGGACTGGAATATATGCCGCCCCATTGAACCCCCTAAAACCACCCCAATGTACTGTAGGCATGTATTCCATAATATTCCATACATGGAGCGTCTGAGAATATACTTTTCATATGTGTTCAAATCTAAAGGGACGATGGAGCCCACCTTGGGTGAGGGGAACAATTAATAATGTTATTTAATCGTTTTGTCATGTCTTCACGCGATGAACAAAAAAAAAACGTCGACCATGCAAAGCTTGTAAACTGGTAAAGCATTCTCTCCCTAAGGATCCAAGTACCTTCTGAGAAGGTACTTGGGTCCGTAGGGTCTCAGCAGTTTCTCAGTCCACGAGCGCACTCCGGGAATGTAAAACACGCCCAAAAGCACCGTTTTTATGCACGTGAATACTACCTGGACCCCGACGGTCGTTCGCACGGGACATGCTCAGCAAGCTGCAAGTACAGTCGTAACGTTGTGGAAGTACGGCGAACGGAAGTTGCAACGGAATATGGGCTCACCCCATGCCCTAGGGATCCAAGTACCTTCTGAGAAGGTACTTGGACCCTCCAAACCTACATAGCGGTGTCTCCAATCACCTGCTGAGAAGGTACTTGGATCCCTAAAGATGGGTGTTTTGGAAAACATATGGGAAAAAAGTCCGATCACAAAGGATCACATATCGGGATGGTGTAAATGCCCCATCCAGTGAGTGGATGGTGGGCACCCCTAACCTACGGCACTCTCCATTAAGGTAAGCACCCAACTCCATGAAACTCCATGAAACTCCATGCGATCAAGGCACTCTTTGATGGCATTGCTGCAAAGCTTATGCATGAAGTTAGGCATTAACGTACCTGAAACGCTTCGCTGCGACGACCTCGTCACCTCGTCGAACGATCTTCGGATCCATTGGGCTTTACAACCGACCACCGTCAGCGCAGTTCTAGGCACAGCTGCTAAGCTAAGCACATGCAGCTGTAATCACTGGGCGCACCAAAATACCATCAACTGGGACCACGATAGCCACTGGTCTAGTCTTAATTGTAGGTTGGGCATGGGGGTTCCCGCAACACCAAGCTTCTCAAAAACACAAAGGTTGCCAACATATTTCATGTTGGCTAGATTGTGAGGGTCCAAACCCCTGCTATGCAGGGTCCAAACCCTCCATAGGAGGGTCCAATGATTCTTAGGGTAGCAATGAACATGCGGTTGCCCAGCTTCGCGTTCCAGGCAACAAACCCGTGAAGCATTCAAGTCGCGCTTTGTAATTGTGGCGCGAAACCCAAGTGGCCAGACCCGCGGAACCCGATCCAGGAACCGGGAAAAGCAACCCTTTCTCCGCACAGGTCACCACCTGCGACTTGAAAAAAGTCTACAAAAGCCTCCATGTCGGAGACCTGTTGGAGGGTGCTGGTATATCATATCCAATTATACCACTAGTTATGTAACCAGTATGTTCCGGTTCGACTTAAACCATAGACCGAAGGAAACCCTGGTTCCTGATAAGGGTAGCTGGGATTCACTGTCATCGCCAATCCAGTGGGGGGCTGTATTCAGCCCGGTGCCTGGTGCACTCGTACAATCCAATGCTTGGAGATCCAACCTACTAGTAATGGCCTCCAACCGACTATAGTGATGGCCTCCAACCTAATAGCGATGCCTGGTCCATTTGTACACTCCAGTGCTTGGAGATGTTGCACCAAGACCTTCATCTGCTGTGGGGACCCAAAGTTTCACAGGGTGGTAAACCTGCTGTGCACCGAACTAGGAAAACATTGAAGTCGACCCCCCCTGAAAGGTCCCTCGGAACCTGGGTACCTGTTTTGTGGGGGGTCAGACGTCCCCATGTTCTTATCTAACGAGGTGGGCCTCGGTCCAGGCGACTTCGTTCACACCGGAGACTGGGAGGGTGGCAGGAGCCGACAGGTCTGTCTGGTTGTTGAGGATTTTTTGGTGTTCAGGACCCCCCCAAAAACCTCCTCAACAACCTTGGAGGTTGCTGGTGGCATTGAAGGTTCTTGTAAGGGCACCAACAAAATCACCCTCAACAACCAGGGCCCTTATATTCAGGGGTGGTTCATGGACAGCCCTTACACTAGCCTTTATAAGGGGTTAGACACTCCAAACTCAGGGAGGTCTTGGAACTAGGTCCTGGAACGACCAAACGTGGGCCTTTCCACAACCGCATCGGTCAGTTCGAACGTTGCCCACCCAGCCAGTCCGTCCAGATCCGCCGCGAAGGGCCGGGCGAAGCCGTCGTCCGGTCAGGTCCGATTCGTCTCGGGGATCCGAGCTGATCTTGTGGAAGAGCGGATGACCACGAAGCCATTGGACCTCAGAGGTTTGGAAAGAGTGGTGTTTTCACCACCTGAAGAAGTGGGACCTGCCGCCCCGAAGCCATTCGACCCCTGAAATCAAACGAAAGCAAAAAGAACCATGGAGTATCACTGAGGTAGGAACCATGTGCAGGTTGAAATTCACACACTTTTTCCAAGAGAGGTTGAGAGACCTGAACTGGGACTCTATACCTGAACCCTCCAGTCAAGGTGTTTCTTGGTGACAACAAGTGACAAGTGCCCAGAGAGGGTCCCCAAACCATCTGGTTGATTGACCGGAGTCAATGTAGGGCAAGTGTGTTGCAGAGTGTCTGGGAATTAAGATTCTGTTTGGATCTTCATCTGAGATAGTGGCCAACATTTGCGCCACACGCGCCAATCTTCTCTAGTGGAAAACATCAAGGAAAAAACTTCAGCTGTCATTCATCATGCCTTAAGAAGCGATGGCCTCCAACCTACGTAAGCGTTGGCCTCCAACCTACTATAGCGATGGCCTCCAACCTACGTAAGCGATGGCCTCCACACTACGGTACCCACTAGTAGCGCTGGCCTCCAACCTAATAGCGATGGCCTCCATGCCACGTTTTCAGGGTTGCCACAGGACGGCGTCATCTTCGGCCATGGTCAAAGGCCATCAGCCGGACCAGGCCATCAGCCGCGGTTTCACCGCCCGCGTGAGGCCTTCTGAATTCAGGAAGCACACCGTTTCCAAACACGATGTTCTTCAAAGGCAACTATTGGTGAGGTGTCAATTGTCCAAGTGTACATGTTCTGCAATAGACAGGTCGGTTAATTATATCATTCCCAGGATGTCCAAACAATCCAATGGTGGTCCACTCCAGTCAATGACTGCGATCCCATCTCCGGAAAGGAAAGGAATTCACCGTACCTGAGAAGGTACGACTGGATCCTGGCCTCCTAGGGAAAGGGGTCACCTGGCTGGAGCCCCTATACTACTGATAGGGATCTCCAGACAGGACACCCCCCTTGAAGGGGTCAAGGTAGTTGAACACGGCAGCAGTTCTTGACTTGTGCACATCGGTCATAAGCCACTAAGCCACTATAAGCCACCAGGTGCACGCGTTGTCAAGGCATCCAACCCCCCAAAAAAGAACCTCGGACCTCCACTCCCCACGTCGTACCAGCAAGTCCACTCGCAGGTCCACGGTACTATACCGAGCTCCCACACCATGATACTGTGTGCCAGCTCGTTGCGCAAGGGGATGGACCTCCGCCCAGGGCACCCGGGCGCGGAGGTCAACGCGGGGGTTGGGCGCCGCACGCCGAACTGCCGGGGCTGTTCGGAAGGCGGCCGGGAAAACCCCCGCTTCGAGGGCAGGTACAAACCGACCGATGTGGTGTAGGGATCCAGCGGACACCGAACCTCAGGTGAAGGTACGAAGACGAACCCGACTGGCACCTTCACCATCTCATGTCTCAGTGTCTCCTGACACCTTCACCGTAGGTCGGTCAGGTACGAAAGCGGATCCACCGGCATCTCGGTCGAAGTTCTTGGTGTGCGGAGACCTCGAACCCTCGGCTCACGACTTTCGAGCGGTTCGGTGGCCCGGAATTCTAGACCAGTCTACCGCGATCGGGGCGAGGTTTGAGGTCTCACGATCGGGGCGAGGTCCACCGAGTGAAAACGAGGGTCAGGGAAATGTAGTTCTGTAACCATGCAGGTAGTATGAGGAATTACAGGCTCGCAAATGGTTTGGAATTTGGAAGCAATTCAATGCTGAATGGTGTCAAAGAACCTGCAGCCATCCCTTAAGCAAGTCAGTGTTCTATGATCAGCCAACATGTGAAAACATCAAAAAAAAACAGCAAAACACAAGCAATAAAACAAGACTGACCCCCTCAGTTTCCATGGAAAGCAGGAAAACCACCAGTCCCAAAATATCATCAAATTAATACTCTATACCTGGAGTCTCGTGAAAGTACCCCCAGAAAATGGGTACAGTCGTACCTGATTTTAGTTTGTGTCACGTCCCATTTTCTCAGGTACCTTGGAGGGTCTAGGTATATTTACCAATGCTAACTCAACAAGAGCATGATTCGATGGCCCTTCAGCCGGTGGGACATCCATGAAAAAGATCCCAGAAGTCAAACTCTGCTTCTGAAGATCCCCATCAAGTCCCCTGTCCATTCGACTCATTGCCTTGGCTTCGGCCAGTACAAACGCCGTGATGCTCCATCCGAGTTCGACACGTCCCGCGCGGGTCGTGTGTGGAGAGGAGACGACACGAGCAATCCGTGGCGATCCCAGTGGCCCAGGGGTCCCGGCAGCTTCGGAAGGTGGAGAACCATTTGAGGTTGCACATACTCTTGCTCCTGTGGATGAGAAGGTCTCTGGCGTAACACCGAGAACTGACGAGGTCACCGTCTCGACTGCTGGACTGTGCGGGCCCGGCCAGGGCTGTTGGGTTTTGACCCAAGAAAGGCATTGCCTCTTGACTTCATCACGAACGGCGCCTCCTTAATTCAGGGAGAAGATCTGCTCCTAGCTACTATAGGAGGCTACTACCTATAGGACGCAGGACAGTCAGTTCACGCTTCTTGAGGGAAGCTCCCTGGACCTTCCTGCCTGACACAAAAAACTAAGTCCCTCAAATTTGACACATGGTGTTATACCGGTCACTCCGGGTTAGAGCTGGGAGACAGGCTGAAGCCAACAAAAAGAAACAGCCAATCGCCCAGCACCAGCCGCAACAAAAAGAAGACATTCACATGCCGCTGTCGAGGTCACATTCCATGTTTCATCCATGTTTTGGAAGAGGTTGTTGGGTGCGATTGTAATCCCCAGACACTCCATGTATAATCCCTGAACCTCCTGGCCGCCTCCGTTTCGGTTCGGTGGGACTGGGGCAGATTAGGGGGGTCTAACTATACTTTCTGAGGAGGTGGGCCAGGAGCCCGACTGGGAACAAGGTCGAGACGGAATTCATACACTCACCCGATGAACTTGGCCCAGCTCAGGGCCTAGACGTCGTTGAAAAAAACCCAAAAGTACCACAAGTTTGGCACTAAGCCCCCAATTACCTAGACCCTCCAAGGTTCCAAAGAACATGGGATGTGACCCTATAAAATCAGGTACGACTGTACCCATTTTCTGGGGGTATTTTGAGACTCCAGGTAGTTTGGCCCACCGTTCTTGCGGCAAGTTCTTGCGCCAATCCCTCATCGTATGGTACCTCTCCTCATGAAGAGATTTAGTGACCAAACAAATTGAAGTGGAATTGCACCTTTCAGACCCCCCCAAATAGCAAACCGGGAGGGTTCATCCGGTCTTTACGATCTGAAGCCTCCAGGTCGCACCGTCGAAAGACACGACCTGAACCCCCAAGCACCAGCTCCCTGAGGATCTTCCGTTCGTGACCGAACTGGATTTTTAGGCCACTTGGGTCGGGTCACCAGGCCTGGCGGCCTGGCCTTTGGTCGCAATGGCCCGGGGACTCCGTAGAGAACGAAGGTCTTGGTACTTGGCGTAGCTCGAGCTACGCACGGGTCGAGCTACGACTCTCCGGTCACGGACCTCAGCCCGGTGGGAATGGTGGGAGACCTCCCTTCTCGGTGGAAGCTACACACCCAGTGAACACCCCAAAAAGAAGAACAGAAGAGGTGAAGAGTGGAACTGAAACTTCCATCAAACACCCGAGGCCTGACGTGTCACCAACTGCGGCCTGATTTTCAAAATAAAGCCGGATGAGCTGATCAAATGAGCCAAGGCAATCATGCTTTGGTCATCCGACCTCCTTAAAAAAGCCCACCATGAACATCAAATCTCTTGTTGGTTCACATGTTCACCTCAAGAGGGCACAAGGAGCAATGGCCTCCAACCTAAGAGAGCGATGGCCTCCAACCTAAGAGCGATGGCCTTCAACCTAAGAGCTATGGCCTCCCAGCAACCGAACCGTGCCTTCATGATGCGGTACTCCAAGAATTTTTCAATCCGGAACTGCAGCTCCTGGCGAGAGATGAGAGCGGTGAGAAGAATTTCACTCCGACCAGTTTGGTGAATCACTGATCGACTGGTCTAGGGAGCATGTGGGCCTGTACATGTTTGGCGCGAAAGCAATCGCCAAACAACAGGTTACAGGTTATCTGCTGACTGGGTATGGCTGACATCCCTTCATGGTTTCTCAGTGTGGCTCATCCACCACCCCAGAACTGGCGGGGTTTTTTGTTCACTGAACCACAACTGGCTCACAAGCGGACCAAGAAACGAGACTCGGACCCGTCCTTGTTCACTGAGTTTTGTTTCAAGTAACGCCTCAGCATCCAGAACTGCTTCATGTGGTTACTCCGCCTCAGGAATGCGAGGGGTGTCAGGCGTGTCTTTACCCGAGGCGCGAGCCCGAGAAAGTCTGGCGCGAGCCCAGGTGGAGGGCGAGAATTCGGGAAGGACATACCCCGCTGAAAGCTCACATGGAGCATAATATGCCCAAGGGCTCCAACTACCTCCGTTTCGAAGATGGGACTGGGGTGGGTGCCAGGGGGGGTCGAACATATTATTTATGATGATATATTCTGTTCCATTGCAGTCGTCTCAGCATCTGAATTTTATTTGGCCCCGATGTGGAATCACCCCCCCCCAAACCCTTCTTCAGCGCCTCAAGATCTAAGGGGATGGCTGAATAGAGTTGCTTAACGTGGATTTGCTTCAGGAACCCGCAAAACATATTCCCCAGTCCCCGGAAGTGGCTTACATGGATTTATCCATACCAGGACCCAACAGGTCACCACCTGCGACTTGAACAAGTCTAGAAAAGGTCGCCTCCATGTAGACCTGTAGAGTCGGGTCCGGTCCTGGGGCCCGGAAAATACTACATCACCTTTATTAAGCAAAAGGTGAAGTCGTTGCCAAGCCACAGATTTTGCAATTGCGTCATCGATGCAGTGACGCCTTCAGTGCGGTGAGTCACGGTGAGAAGAGGGCCGGGCCACGATGGGCGTGTGAAGGACGTGTCTGACCTCTGACCACCCGGCCGCTTGCAGGTCAGTGAAGGACCGAAGTTCTGGAGTTGATCGGAATTAGGCCAAGATGGGTGTTCCGTTCCGAACGAAAGAATCCCCTGGTTGATCATACGACCTTCCTCCAATACCAAAAGCAATCGACGAAGACTTGCGACTCCGAACGGTGCAGGTCTTCGGTCGACCGGTCGACCCGGTAGACCGTCCAAAGCATCGGAGAAGCATGCACCGAAAAGGTCACGTGTAACGTGAGCACTTGGAACCCCTAGAAACATGTCCCTATAGGGATCCAAGTACCTTCTCAGAACCTACATAAACCTACATAAAGTGTCTCCAATCACCTTCTGAGAAGGTACGACTGGATCCCTAGGGTGTAGAGTCATTGATGTGGTTTTTGTTGGGTCTATCGGTCTATCCTATTCCCAGCATCAACTCTTCCAGGTGATAGGATCAACTCTTCCAGGTGTTCACATGGTGTTCACAGAGTTTCAGCTGTCACAGACACTCCATGGGACTGGAATAAATACCCCATATAGATAAACAAATACCCCATTTATTCTATATCTCGGAGTCATTTACCATCAAATACCCCCAGTCCCAAACAGCTCGTGGGGTGTGGACACGTCTGACTGGGACCTACTCTTCTCTTTTCCACAACCCGACGCGTCGGCGTTCTCGCTTGGTGAAGCGCCGGAGTGGGGGGGCAGCAACTCGGTCGTAGCTTCTCAGGTACGGTGAAGGAGACAGTCCAGTCGCACCGAACCTGAGGTCCGGTACGACTGGATCCCGGTCTTGAAATCATCTTCGAAAGACCTAGGCCCCAGGGATGATGGCCCAGACCATGCGTGGGACTGGAACAGTAACCGGACCCAGTGGTGTGTCGTAAGTATCCCAGTCCTATGGATGGTCTGGGCCATCATGCCCGTGCAGGGTTTTGTTGAAATATCTGCTTGCTCGACGTAGACGTTTGACGCTCCGATTTGCTGATGCTCGCTCACATGTGTGCCCACACATGTATATTATGTATGTTACCTGGACCCTCCAAGAGGTGTCTATCAATTAACAGCCTCTTAGAGGTTAAGAGGTGTCCCAAAACCACCTGTTGGAGGGTACATGTTACCTGCAGGTCACTTCTCTCTTTCAGCCAGCACTGGGCGGGCCTCCCACAATCGACGAGAAGGCCACCATGGCGAAGAAGAGCACGGCAATGGAGAACATTCGCTCATAGACCTGGCGCCAATCGATCCGGGCTTGGGCCAGGAACAAGCATCCACGCGCCGTTCGGCTATCGTGTTCAACCTAGGCAAGTGATGGCAAGTGCAAACTGGACATGAACATGTCTGAAGACAGACATGAACATGTGGATCATGAGCTTTTTTTTTCAGGGCACCATTCGTTGTTGCAGCTTTTCTCTTTTCGGAGCGTCGGATGCTTCGGGAGGACATCGGGCTTGGTCGGCCCGCGGTCCGCCGCAAGAAACGCCGCGCTGTCAGCCGCGCTGTCAGCTGTGTCCACTCCATGGTGCTTTGGAAGAGTTGCGGAACATGGCATTGACCCCCTAAGGGATCCAGTCGTACCTTCCCAGAAGGTGGGACTGGGGTGGGTGCCAGGAGGGGCACTTGGTGCCTTCTGAGGTTCGGTACGACTGGATCCCTACAAAACCCCATGTCATGAGGCGAACTGCAGGTAACTATTCCAGTTGTCATGGAAGTGCAGGTCACTACTGGCTAACTGCAGGTCCCCATGGAGTGTCTGGGAGTTGTCATGGTTTGTTCATTGGCTCAGGATTTATGTGGCTTGCGGGTCGGCGAGGAGACCAGACTCCGATACGAGTTGAAATCTGCCCCAAAGAAGATGGCAACATTACAACTTCACTGACGACATCCAACCTGATCAGCAGTGTTATCATGTTCTCAAACACTCCATGGGGCTGGCATATTTACCTACATTGGGGTTGATTTCAATTGCCCGTAGAGCTTTTGGGGTTGAAAGGCTGTAAAGGCAGTTGATACAAGCTTTATGACCCGACCCGGGCTGCTGCATGCTGCTGCCCCCCGTCCAATCTTCATGTTGTTTTGTGGATCGAGAACGTCCGAGCGTCCAAGGTCAGTGACCTCTCACAAACACGACCTGTTTGGGACTGGATCTGAGTTGCAAACCAGGCAGGGGCCACATCGCTGCAGGAGGCGAATCGCTATAGGCAACTCTTCCAGTTCCAAATAGCTCGTGGGACCTGGGTCTCTTCGCCCAGCTGGGTCTCTTCGCTACCGCGACAGCATGCGGCAGCTGGCGACCGTCTCCGGGTTTCCGGGCGTTCTTGGCGCTGACATCCATCGAGGCTGGGGTAAACTGTGTCAAGGCCTGGGGGGCCGACGTGGTGGCCGGAGGGCGCGACAGCGGGCGAGGAGCGTAGGCGAGGAGCGAGCTCTTTTGGAAGTGAATTGGCGGGAAATCCACGAAATGACGTGATTCCTCAAATCAGTATAGGATCCAGAAAAAAAAGAAAAGAACAGGATGAAGAAAAGCTGAAACTCAACATGAAGCAAGCAAAAGTGCTAGGGATCAAAACGAAGGCTACACTAAAACACTGCATGCCGTTTGGACCTTATGTTGTCATTCCTTGCCCTTCAATAAAAACACATATAGTCGACTCCATTGCACCATCTTCACATCACTCTTCCCTAGCAAGAAGAATAACCATTTGTTATGGTCTGAATATGTCAGAATCCACTGTGCTTTACAAAGCTTAGGGTCTGAATACTGGTCTGAATATGTTGGAATCCACCGTGCGTGTTTTACTAAGCTTAAGGTCTGAATATGTTGGAATCCACTGTGCTTTACTAAGCTTAAGGTCTGAATATGACTTTGTTTTACTAAGCTTAAGGGTTTTGACCGTCCCTAGTTCTTAGTCGTCGATCCTGTTCATGTTTGGGGATACCAGCAGCAGAAAAAAAACACACAAAAATGAACAAAAGAAAAGGGATTCCAGCAGCTTCAAAGGGGTTTCCAATAGACTACCCTACTTACAGGTCTCCATTGAAATACTCCGAAATGAAGGCCGTATACATGGATCGATCATAGGCCTTGAATTGCCTACGTCATTATGCCTTGTTGGATCGGGCCCCCCTGAACCCCGTGCGTTCGGACTCGCTGCCGACCCACATCGACCTCCCCGTCCGCGAGAAACGGCTCAGTACCCCAGGCCCAGTGGAGCGAGGTGAAGTACTTGTAGGTCGCTGTCTGGAGCACCGGCCGGTCGACGACGGAGCCGTCGGTTCTGGCAGGAAAAATCCCGCCGAGCCGGAAACGAAAACGCCGGAAAGCCGGGTAATCATGGATTGGGGTACATGACTCCATATTTTGGGTGTTTCTTTCACTAAAAGGGGGTCTTTTCACAGAAGGGCCGGGCCCTTCTTCAGGTCCGCGGACGGCCGCCGGACCCTGTTGGTGGTTCGATCGGCCCCTGGATTCGGTCCAAGAAGCGGATACCAAGCGCGACGGCCCCATTCCAGTTAGGGAATTCACTCGCATTTCCATTCGGGACGACTTGATCCATATCACATAGTATCACCCTGAGCAATGTTCACCACTCGCATTCACATCTGCTCCTATCAAAGGATGATGTGTTCGACAATGTTCGACATGTAGGCGGGGTCGGGTCCAAACGGCAGTGGAAAGCTCTGATGGAGGGGTGTTGACCCCTAGCCAGGGTGAACCACCTTTGGTCCATGCGGCCAGGGTGGAAACCCAAACACTCCATGAGTATACAATAGTTACAATAGTTACTATAATTGTTACATGGGGTAAAGGTCTGCAACTATTCCATGCATGGAGTGTCTGGGAAAGGACACCTTCTGGATCCCAAGACAAAGTGGAAACGACCCGAACCGGTGGTCAACTCCCTCGTGGTCAACTCGGCCTGGGTAGATGGTCGGACGCAGTGCCCCAAATTCACTGGGTGGTAGAGGAAAATTGGCTTCCATGAAGTTTCACGGTCCATCTTAATCTGCGTGGATGTAAAGAATCCATGCGCTATAGATCCACTGTCACCCTCTGAGAAGGTGGGATCACCCCTTTGTTGTAGGCGCCAGGGTCGGGTACCGCTTCAAGTAGCAAGAAGCTAGTAGTAACAAGGGCATCACTACTAGTAACACAAAGCTACTACTAGCTCCTGTCCACCGGAAGGTTGAGTCTAACCTTGGTCATGATGCTGAGCGTAGCTGTACTTCCATTTACATGGATGACAGAACTTGGTGGGCTAAAGATTGGCATGAAGTTGGTCCTCGCGTCCAGGAATGGGCTCGGTGGTCCGACTCTATCGGTTTAAAGGAGAACAATCGCAAGACTCAGGTTTGTGCGCGGCGCTCTTTTGACAATGACCCTTGCCCGCCTGAGTGGAAGGTTTCTGAAGTCAAAGCCCTTGGGGTCTCTACCACGTCCAAAGTTCGTAAATATACGATTGGTGAGCAGGAGAGATTGGACAAGGCTGAGAAGGCTGCTTCGCTGTTGGTTGGTGCGTCTCTGCCTTGGACTAGGGCTGTGGAAGCTTTTAGATGCTTCGTCTTGAGCATTGGGGCTTATGGTTGGGTCTGTAGGTCTCCCACCCTCACGTCCGGTGATCGCCTCTTGAAATCTTTCAGGCGTGTTGTTGGTGGCAAGACCCGAATGGCTAGTAAATGGCTTCTCATGCTCTTTTTCGGTGGATCGCTTCATTTGGTGAGTGCGGTGATCCAACGGCTGTGGGGTACACTAAGCAAGCTTGACTTACCTTGGTGCAACTCTTACGCTTCGCCTGTTGGTGTGCTTCGCAGGCAATTGAAAGGGATTGGTTGCAGTGAGGTGCGCCCTTGGACGTGGCGTTGTTACAGCGGTGTCGAGGTGCAACTTTTTCGGTCTTCTGACCGTCGAACACAGGGTCTCTCTGCTCAAAGGCATGAATTGAGAATGCAGTTTCGGTGGCACGCTTTCGTTCAGTGGCTTCGCTGTCAAAGACATGAGGTCACGCAGCTTTTGCAAGATCATTCAAAAGAAAACTTGGAACAGTTTTTTTCGCTGTGTCGATATTGGCTTCACACGTAAGCGTATGGATACGGACTCTACCTTTAGGCATGTTGCTCTGGGGGCCTCTGTGTCCCCGGCTTTGTATGACCCCGCTTTGCAGGATTGCCCCTTCTGTCTGGGTAGACTCAGACCGTCTTGGATCCACTTGGTGTGGCATTGTGAGCATTTTCGCGACTGTAGGCCTTCTAAGCCCCGTAACCCCCTCACCGCTAGGTTTGGTTGGGCCTCTGGCCCGGCAGATTCGGCTGTCATGGATCATCTCACTAAGGTGCAGGAAGCCGTGTGGCGTCTTCGCCACGGGGAGGAGCGTTGATGCGCAGCTAAGGACTTTGCGTGCTGATAGCAACTCAAGGGCTACAGCACCTACAACTCCATATATATAGCTCCTGTCCACCGAGTTCATCTTCGCCGCCATCTTGGCCCGAGTCGATTGCCCGGTCAAACCCAAATCCCGCATTTTGTAGCTTCTTGTTACTGGTGACGCCCGGGTTCCTAGTAGCGATGCCAGGAGCTACTAGCAGCTTAATAGTTACTTACGTTAGTAAGGGCCTCCAATGTACACCTTTTCTGAGTATCGAAGTCTTGTACCGAAGAGTTCACACAAAAGGCAAACGAAGGCAAACGAGCCCGTTTGCTTTCTAGAGTACCACCTGAGTTTCCGAAACAGTTCAGACATGACCCGAACCAAGCGAGATACTCGGAGTGCATTCACTGCCAAGCTTCCAAATCACCGGATCTGACATGACCCGAACCCGAACAAAAGAACAGCTCTATGGAGACTATCCCACATGGTCATCGGAAAAAAAATCCGGCTCGACTGCGATGGCCTCGTCTTGATAGCCGCCCACTTCGATCCTCAGCTTTGAAATCATCCTGTCCAAATTCTGTTGGCATGTACCTAGGCCCTAGGCTAGATCTTCCAACTAGAGGCAGAAATGTTGTAGTTGGAAGATCTATAGGTATCAACCATGCACCTAATCAGGACATCATGGTTTTTTGCGCATTGGTGTTAGATGTATCATTGAGCCTTACCTGAGAAGCTGCAAAACGAAAGCCAGCGTTTTTACTTTCGAGTAAGCTTTCTCAGGCCACCCCCCCCGAATCCCCCTTCTTACTCAGCTGGCGCAGGTATAGATACCCAGGGTAACTACAATTCAGTTACAAGGTATAGTACTTCAAGTTCCCTTTCCGTCAACCGCTCGATAAAGCCTTTACACACGCACAGCAATGAACAGCTTTGAAGTCTCATTCTTGCATTGAACTTATTTTGGTGTGTAAGAGGTATAGCAACATAGCATTTATACGGACCCAGGGTAGCTACAATTCTGTTGCCAGGTATCCCACTACAATTTCCCTACCCTGGGTCTGCGCGCGTGTGCCTTGCTGGCTCCCCGCTGCCCGTGATTTAGGCGGGCGCGCGTGCACAGACCCAGGGCAGCTACAAGGCAGTTGCCAGGTTTTCCCAGGGTAGCTACAATTCAGTTGCCAAGTATAGCACTGCAACAAAAAAGCACCCCAAAACCTTGCTTCCGTGCACCCCTACACACCACCTACTTTCAAGTGTGCTTTCTCAGGCCACCCCCCCGAACCCCCCTTCTTACTCAGCTGGCGCCTTGCCAGGTATAGATACCCAGAGTAGCTACAATTCAGTTGCCAGGTATAGTACTTCCAGTTCCCTTTCCGTCAACCGCTCGATAACCTTTACACATGCACAGCAAACCACAGCTTTGAAGTCTCATTCGCGCTTTGAACTTATATAGGCTATAGGTGTGTAAGAGACATAGCATTTATACGGACCCAGGGTAGCTACGGCAGTTGCCAGGTATACCCTGAGTTGCACGGACACAGGGTAGGGAAATTGAAGTGGGATACCTGGCAACAGAATTGTAGCTACCCTGGGTCCGTATAAATGCTATGTTGCTATACCTCTTACACACCAAAATAAGTTCAATGCAAGAATGAGACTTCAAAGCAGCGGATTGCTGTGCGTGTGTAAAGGTTATCGAGCGGTTGACGGAAAGCACCCCCCCCAGACCCCCTAACTAGCGCCTTCTACGAAGGCTGGCTTTCGTAATAACTAGCGACCCACCAAATGGGTTCTCCCGGACAAAGACCGGAGAAAGCGCTTCCTCACAAGCGTTTGAGTGATCAGAATGACAACACACCGGAGCTACACCACTGCTTTGCCCCGTGCAGCTCAGACTCCAGTTGATGATGTTGCTGGTCGAAGACTCTTTGCCGATCAGGAACCACCTGAGGACTCGACGCTTTCCTGTGCAGCCCAAAGGGCCCACAATGCTTATGATGACTGCAAGAGATGTGGAGATGTCCAATGGAAGAACGCAAGACGGTACCAATGGAAGCCCCCGTGCATCATACATCGATCCACACTCATGAGCTACCAGATTCGCAGTAGGCGGAGGAATCTAGCAAGTGGATCTGTTGTCTACGTAGACAATAGCAAACCATAGCAAAACCTGTCTTTGGGGACAGGTAGGACAGGTATAGGAAATATAGGTGAGATTGCTTCATTCACTTCTTGAGGGGTCTGCACACTTCCAGTAAGACTAGGTGGGATCATGGCTGGTCATATGAAATTCAGACATGTGTTTCTTGGTGTGATGGAACACTCAACGAAGCTCCTGCTGTTACGTTATGTTCAAGACTTAGCCCAGTCAAACAAGAAGAATCTCTTTGATATCATTTCTCCGGCAAAACAAGCAGCTTCACTGAAATCTCCCCCTAGTCAGCTGACCGGTTTTTGAATGCTCTTAGGATGTACCGTTCGAAAGCTGTTCTCCTTCTTCTCTCCATGAAAACCTGCTTCCATCCTTGCAAAAAAACAAAACAACAACATATCATCTGCCAGCACTACCAATCTCGGGTGATTCTGAGATCAACATCAATGGTCTCTAAACCACCCCATCCTGGCTGGTGCGAGTCAAAAAACAAAGAACGTGTCCTTCTTCCCCATGGACCGAATGGGCATCGCCCCATCTTCGGTCCCCACCCCTTCGACTGTCGTCTGGTCGGTACGAAAGGTGACGCCATGCCACAGGCAAGCGATCACGTGGTTGAGCAACACGATGAAGAACCTGTTTTTCTCGAAGCATAGCTCCGCGCAGCACATCACATCACTTTTTTCAAGCGACCCGTTCGGTAGCGACTTCCAAAAGGGAATCGTTGAATGAAGCAAGGACGCTACTAGATGCTCCACGCATGTCATATATGGCTATACATGGACCCCAGGTCAACCAGCCCATGCATGATATGTATGTAACCTAGACTTCCAAGACGATTAATAGAATGGGAACGACTGGGTTTTGTAGCTATAGTGTAAAATCCTTTCTGAAACAACGGTGGTTCGGGATGACCAGCCTATTAAACTGATGGTGGGCGAGGAAGCCTAGAGTGTAACTGAGTGTTCCAGCTTGATCGTCACGGGTGTACATCTGCGAAAGTCCGGTCCATGATCACCTGTTCTGAAGACAAATATGAGGTTCACTCCTGGAGAATGTGGTTCACTCCTGTTATGAGGTCCACCTGTTATGTGGTTCACTCCTAGAGAATGAGGTTCACTGAAAAATCACCGGTCCAATTCTCTACAGTCCATGTGACTGGTGGTTGATTGATGTTTTTGTCTCATGGGTTTTCGTTTTTTTCTTTGCTTTTTGCTTGTGTTTCGCTTTTGTTTCGTTGTTTTTATTGTTGTTTAATGTTTGCTTGTTGCTTTTTTATTTTGCTTTTGTTTCGCTTGTTTATGTTCTTTCTTTTTTTTTGCTTGTTGCTTTTTAATTTGCTGTGTGTTTGCTTTTTGGATTTGCTGTGTTTTGTTTTTTTTGTTGTTTTCAAGATTCACGGAGTTACCCTGGGTCCGGCGAACACAACATTTACCCTATTCCAGTCCTATATGGAGTTGTTTGCTGGAACCGTGTCACTCATGTCCCATGTGTTCACGAACCGCGAACAAAACATATATATATATAATATATATATATACACAGTAGTATTTAGAAACAAAAAACGATTCAGTCTCGGCTGGCCACTCCCTGCGATTCTTGGGGAACTCGCGAACTTGCGCCAAGGCACAAGAGGCGTAGCAACGAAATCACCAAGAAAGTGAACCTGAGGTTGCATCAAAATCCAAGTTCCCACATGTTCCCACGACCTGTTTGGAGGAGTTAATACATTGGATTTTCATGGGGTAAATGATGAGTATAGATAAATGATGATGTTCATGGAGCTATTCCAGTCCCATGGAGTGTCTGGGATGTTTGATGGTTAATGGCAAGCACGGTTGATGAGTCGTCCGTGCTTTGTGGGGTGCCTTTCATGGTCATGATGTTGGGATTGGATGCCCCCAAGTGAGGGGTGTCTCCCCACGTTTCTGTTCAGAAGCGGGGCTGTGGGTCATCAATCGGTCTCCCACGGATGGTAGGAGCGATGGCCGTTGGAGCGATGGCCTCCAATGAAAGAAATCAAACCCAAACACTCCATGTCTGGCATATTTACATACATTGACCCCTAAAACCACCCCAATGTAGTAGGTAAATATGCCAGACATGGAGTGTTTGGGAAATGGATCGTCCAAACCGGGAATGGACTGCAAACCCTACAGGTCAGGAGATGACCTCACTGGGGCTCAGGAGATGACCCATCGACGTCGGTGTTGACCAACAGGTCAGACTGGATCGGTCGGATCGTCGGTCAAGCTTTGAGCGTTTTTTGAGACAACGTTCGGACCCTGGTCTGTGGTACATCTGGGATGGGCTGTTCAACCTGGGCTGTTCAACCTCTCTTGGTCGGCTGGAGGCTCCCCCGTTTTGACCCAGCCACATGCCACGGTGCAACGACAGGTCCGGTCCCAGCGAGTGAGTCGGGGTCAGTGTGATCGGTGGTGGAAGGACGAAGTCGGACGAACGCGTGGCGGTGAAGCCATCTGACCAACCCAGCCACCGCCCAAATGAATCAACGAAACCATGGGTTATATTCCCGTTTGGGCTCCAATCATATCCTCAGGTTCGGTGGTTAGACCCCCCTGGCACCCACCCCAAGCACCTTCTCAGGAGGTGGTTATAACATCTTCCTTTCTAGATAGGCCGCACATGGACCCGATGTTGTTCGTACCTGGACGAACATGGGACGTCTGACCCGAACACCAATGGCAACAGGCACATTGTACTCGTTGTCTTTTTGGGTCGACTGGAGGAAACCACCTGTGCCGATGTCCGAGTACTCCAGATAGGGCTCCTGGCCTGCCTCCATTTCAGGCAAATCCAACCACCTTCCCCTCATATGGAGGGATTGGTCCCTCATATGGAGAAGTCCCAGGGGCTGTGAACGGAGCGCCTAGGCACCGAGTTTTGGTAAGGTCGGACCATCTTCACGTGGTGTGGTCCTGCTGTTCAGTCGGACCTTGGGGATGGGTGGGGGCATAGGACATGGTCCCTACCTGGAGTCGACTCGGTCTTACCTCGGACCATACCAGGGGGCTTGCATTTCTTGAACCATTTAGCTCGATCTTGACTAAGAAACCGGAGCATCAAAACCCGCTTGGCTGATTTCGAGTGAGCAGCTCACTCTCAATGTATTCCAACATGGCATCAATGATACGCCTGCAAGCAGCAAATCCCGGCAGCTGCTTTGCGAAGGCCGACCACAAAAACCCTTGTCGTCTGGAGATTTGGGTGAGATCAAACAAAAACTCTACGGATATTATAGTTTTTTTTTGTTTAAACAAAATATTATGTCACATATTCCGCACCAAATGAACTGAAGCTGGCCAGCAGCCATGGGTTGTGATTTTAGGGTGATTTTGTGCTAGTATCAGTCAACTATAGCTTCTCCTCCTATGGTTCCACATATAGCCTCTGAGAAGGTGATTGGAGAACATTGGACACACTAGAACAAGGTTTGGAAGGTCCAGTTGTACATTCTGCCTTCGATGGACCCATACCCTTCTGGGATCCTACTAGGCTTGGCATGAAGTCGCCTGATGATTTGTCGGTCCAAACTGATCCGTCCAGTTGACCCTGGTATCTCCTGGTCCTAAAACACCTCATCTTCGTAGTGCCTTCCAGGGGCCCCACATGGCCCATCAAACACCTGGTTTTCCCTAGCAAAAAGACATGATTTTTGTATGTGAAAAGCTTTGTTTTATCATGGCTTTGAGGGCCCCTGGTTTGTATGCCCAGGATCCACTCGTACCATCTCAGGTACTTAGGTGAAGAAGGAGACAGTACTGTTCAGTTCTGTAGGTGCCAGCCTTTTTTTCGTTGTCGTACCGAACCTGAGGAGACTCAGAACGAAGTTCGCGGATCCGGGTATCCCTACAAGTGAAAGACCTCATGAAATTCTGGAGATGGTCATACAAAAAACCAATACTTAAGGAGGTCAAGTCGACCAGGTTTTACTGGGTCAGACTGGACGTACGTAGGGTATGATCAGCAAAATGAGATCCTTCAAAACTTCAGACCGGATCCGGGATATCCATCTGTCGCACCTTTCGGGTTCCCCCCCAGCCGGCCTCTCCAGTGTCTCACTTGGTGTCGGAACATCATGGAACATCCGTCAGCTGGGTAGAAAACGAAGCAGAACTCTGATGGAACACCTCCTGCCAATCACCTAACTATACTGACCTACTATCTGGCCACACACTATCTGGCCACTACCGCTTTTGTGCAACTTTGGTGGGTAAAACCCACCAACCACACAAAAGAGGCAAATAGATTCACAGGACGGTCATTTATGGATTATCGAAATGCTTGTTACAATTTCTTACAGTTGGCTGATCCTGCCCGTTGACAAAACTCGGAACCCAGACCTCCTAAGTGTGGCGGAATTGCTGATTCGTGACTCCATCCCAACGTATTTGAAGTTGACATTCTGAAAAATGCACACCTCTGTCAGACGGCGACTTTCAGGCATATGGAAATACCCTGTGACCGGGCGCGGTCTGACCGGGCTGGCAGCTTTCTGCGTAGTGGCAGAACCGCGACCCCTCCGGTCTCCCGCCTGAGCTTCAAGACCCGTAACAGTCGCACCACGCGCATGGCCTTCCCCAACCTGCACGAGGAGCTGCGCATCGCGGGCCCGTGGAAATCCCGATAGCACGAACGGGGGCGAGAGATGTACCAGAGTGTCGACCTGTTGTCGTTCGTTATCAGGTCGTAGCTGTTTTTGGTTCAAGTCATGTCCCATAGTCAAAGTATTACAATTCCCTACAAACAATCCATGTATGGAAATATATGATCCTTTTCCCATGGTTAAGAGGTGCGAGCCCCCCCGGCACTTTGGCCAGAAGCAGGAACATATGACCAACATTCGCCACCGCCAAATGGCTCGGCCATATTTGCGCCAGCATGGATCCTTCGAGAATGATTTTTCTGGCCACATTTGCCAGTGAATGTCATGCATGGCATATTGGCTTAGCCATGGAGGCGACATTTGGTGTTTTGTTGGTGGATGGCCCGAAGTCGGGTCCAGACCCCATCGCCAGGACATAGTCGGGTCTGCGAGATGACTCCCGATCAGGCGGGGTTGATTGGAGGGTCCCCATGACTCCAAACGGTCCGTGGGGTCCAGCGAACGGTGTCCAACTCTTTCGTAAAGACAGCTGATAGTTCGGTCATCGTTCGAACCCTTTTTCAGTCGGGTCCATGTATTTGGGGCAGGAAGCTGATGTGGATGCTTAGGTTGGAGGCCATTGCTAGTAGGTTGGAGGCAATCGCTCTTAGGTTGGAGGCCATTTTTGTAGGGATCCAGTTGTACCTTCTCAAGTTCGGTACGACTGGACCCTCCTGGCACCTACATTATCCGTGCCTCCTTCTTCACCGTAGCTGAGAAGGTACGACTGGATCCCTAAGGATTGCTATTACCCAGACGCTCATGGACCCTGCTAAGTAGGGGCCGTACCCTCATATGGAGGGGTCCAGACCCGAACCAATCCCTATGGTTTGGTTCGGGACCAGTCGGCCGTCGTTCGCGTCGCGTCAGGTTGCACAGATGCCAAACGCTCCAAACATCGACCAAGCGAAGGCATCATGACCACTGGTCCCACACGGAAACGGGTCCGAAGCTCCCACGGAAGGCGCCTCAGCGCGCGGCCAATCCTTAGTGCCCAAGAAATGCGGGGATTGGATTCGTTTCACGAACCAAAACGTCAGGAACACCACGTACCTGGCTTGATTCGTTTCAACACCACCGTGGTTTGGCGCTGCAAAGACTGGAAGAACAAGACTGGAAGAAAGGTCCAAAGGGCGCCAGCTGCTCGCGCCAAGTTTAGTACCAACCTCTTTAAGAGGTTCATTACACTCATCTTCATTACACTCATCTCGCCTAGTGCCCACCTCACCTATGATCACAAGAAAATTGTACGCGCAGCCGCAGCCTCCCCAAACGGGATGGTCTCTTGCAACACTTCCATTTAGAGTGGAAGAGTAAAGAACAAAGTGGACGGGAAAATCGATGACCCTGCAGGTATTCCAGGTACTTCCTGGCTTATGTAGCTTACATCCATTATCACAAACACTCCATTAGTTATATACATTAGGGTCATATACGGGGTAAATGTAACTATATTCCACACATGGAGAGTGTCTGGGTATAGTTATATATACATATAATGCATATATATATATATATACATACATCTACATACCGCAGATCTTCCAACTAATATTTCTGCTGTACGTGTTCAAAACCAACCAAGTTCGGCTTTGGCATAGTTGGAAGATCCGGTATGACCCATCTGCACCTTGGAACTTCGGCACCTCACCCTCCAACCCCGTTGCGACCAATGGACCCCGCATGCGGCACGCTATCGGAGCCCAACATCGTGAGCCACTCAGGGATCACCACCGCCTCGACGAAGCCCGACGCGAAGCCCGACCGAGGATCTTCACCGGCGGGGGGGGGTGGGAGAGGGAGAGTTACCCCAATGTTATGACCCCAATGTATGTAACATTGTGTAACTCTTTCGAAATCGGATCCGATATGATCCTTAACCTCAAGCCGGATGGGTGTTTGTGCGAGTCGAACACTTATTGTTGGGTGTGTTTGATGGGTATTCCATATTCCCACAAGATTGCAGCTATATAATATGGTGTCCTCTGGCTTCCTCAGTTTGCAAAGCCTGCTGGAGCTTTTCATCAATGGGGTTTGTGCTTCCTTCTTGCCATCTTGGGTTCATAAATACTTGCATTTGTATGTCGTATTTTAAAAGGGTTCCGTGATGGTTTCGGCCGCGCGCGCTTTGACTAATTTTCTCAGACAGTCAGACAGTAGTTCCTAACTACAAGAAGTGCGCGCGCTTCAGTTGGGCAAGTTCCTGCTTGAGAAGTTCATTTTCATGCCGGAGACGATCGTTTTCTTCTTCAATGTCTTGATGCACATGGACTGCTTCAAGCAATTCTTCAAGAAGTACGCGTTCGTCTTGGGTCAAAGGAACCTTGGGTGCAGATGTTGACATTGGCGTTGCCTCCTGTTCATCTGATGTAGAAGACGATGATGAATCCGAAGAAGTAGAATCAGAACCATTACCTCCATTGCCCTGGTGCTCATCAATGGACATATCTGCTGCAGGAGGAACAGGTGCAGGAAGAGCAAGCATTGGAACACTGCCTTGGGAAGTTGATGCCGAGCGAGCACGACCATCTTTCTTGGTTTGTAACCAAGACATCAACGCCGTCTGGCATTGACTCGACCAAGCAGAACCTTGTGCCAGGGTTCCCTGGTTGACTGCGTTGCGTCTGATGGTGTTGATTTGGATCTGAATTTGCTTTTTGGTGACTGCCGCCCTGTCACTATGCACAGCAATCACCAAGACTTGATCCTCACATAGTGTTCTCGCCAGGCCCATAGGAATGCTCACCTTGGAATGGAAAAAACTTCAAGGCTGTGCAGGAACCATCAGGATGTTGGTGGAGAACGAGCTGCAAGTGACAGGAAGTTCCAAGTGCATCGCGGGGACGCACAGAGTTTGGCAAGCGTGAGATACACAAGGGATCTTCTGACATGACAGCGCGAATCACCTCCTGATCTTCTGTGGAAATGTTGGGCACTATGTGAAAGAACTCTTTGAAGCTTTTCTTGCTTTGGCGTGGAGGCTTGATTAAGGGCAAAGCTTCCACGGTGAAGTTGCCATTTGAAACCTCAGCATATTGTAGTGTGTCCAGGTAGTGGACGTAGTGGGACGTAGCCTCTGCCAGACACACATCCATGATGAGACACAGGAGACACGGGAAGCAGACGATTGAGACCTTGATACAAAATAGCTAGTTTGAGATATGAGCAGACGTGATGTTCATCCACATGACTGCATAGACAAGTGTTTGCAAACCAAAGTCTGTGTTTGCAAACTCATGCTTTAACAAGAAGGTTGTATGTTGGGGGAGGGGGGGGGGGGGGGGGGGGGGG